CAGAGGTTAAAAGTCAAAGAAAGACAATTCTAAACGGCTCATGTTATACAAAATACAGTGCCAGCTGCACACATGTGTACTTGTAGCATAAACAAACTTGCTGTACAGCCCAAGTATCTGCTCTCAGAGTTACGCTGCTGCTTTTGACACTGACACTGGCGTTCCACAAAAGTGCCAACTTGAGTCCCAGTTGCTCCGTTTCCAATCAAGCTCCATGCTAATGCACCTAGGAAGGCGACGAATGATGACCAAAGTGCTTGGGCCTCTGCCACCCATGTGGAGACCTGGATGGAGTTCCAGGATCCTGCCTTCAGCCTGGCCCAGGTCTGGCTGTTCCAGCCATTTGGAGAGTGAACCAGAGGACAGAAGATCTTTTTCTGGAGAAAGGAGAGCCCTTTCCATCATTCTGCTTTTTAAATAAGTAAATAAATAAGTAAATACTTTCTGTTTTAAAAAAGAAATATCAAAGGCCTATAACTTAGGAGAGAGTAGTAATAGTGTCCACCAATGATCTTGCACTTAGGTTTCTTTATGTATTACAGGATGAACCCAAGAGGAAGGCAAGGCAAATATATATACACTGCCTAAAAACAAAAACGAAACAAAAAACTGGGGTAAAAAAAATTGAGGCAAAGTAAGCTTAAGTACATTGCTAGATCTAGTACCCTTTATCTTATTTCAATGTTTCTCTTTACTAGAATGTGTACTGAATTTTATTTGTAGTCTCTCTCAGTATTAGTAACTCTGAATCTTTATAATCAAATAAACTAATCTTTCACTAAACCAAAGGAATTCCAAACCCAGGAAGGTATAAAGGAACAAAGTCCATATTATATTGTCCTGTAAACTAGGAAAATACATGAAAGAATTTTATAAATTCTAAAGCAATATCCAAATGAATCACATCATTAATAATTGTGAATGGTAAAGGCATTCTAGGTTACTGAAGTCATGAGCTATGTTAATTCAATGATTAGCAGCCTGAGTAACAGTTAAAACCACTGATACTCTTGGTGGCTTCTTTACAGAAACGACCTTGTGTGTTAATGACTGTAAACTCACTGCCTCCAAACCAATGTCTGTATGAGAGCTAACTGGAGCCTCAGCAGATCACAGGGCAGTCGAGAGCTCTGTAGAAAATCCATGCTGTTGCTCATGACCCAGGAAAATGCTGTCTTATGGATGCCCTACTGAATCATTTCAGTGTAAGGTAATGAAGGATGCTTTCTGCTCTTTTTCTGTTTAATCTAGAGAATAAGAAATCACAATCAGATATTACTATCACCTATTTTATTTTCATTATACATACTTGAGATTGCAGACTGAATACAAATATTGATCAGAAGCCAAAACACTCCCACGCATTTCTTATCAATTCAATCCAGGCCAATCTGTCTCTCAACTCTGCATTTTTATGTTCTTGCCTCACCACTCACTAAAATAAATATATGAATAAACAGCAATCCAATCCAAATAAGCATCTTTCATCTATAATTATCTGAAGCAAGACATTTAAAGATGGGTAGAGTTAATCCATTTCACTGAATACATCTTCAAAGCCTGTTCAGTCGTGTTTGAATGTCTAGATTCACTTTATAGAGAATGTGAATATTGCAGGCTTCTGGCAGATCCTGTCTGAAAGGGACAAAAGGTCAAACAGTTCTTTGGCCGTTCTGTGACAATTAAAAAGTTGGGCTGGGTCAGAGGGTGAGTTATATCTAGATCTGGAATGGATCACTCACACAATTAAGTTCTTGTCAGACCAAAAAATATGACAGCACAACTTACCCCAGGCAAGAGAATGGCCAGAAAGTATCTATTTTTCTCCACCTATCTCAAAATCTGAAAAGAGATTAGTAATTAATGAATGAAAAACATTTCTAAGTTTCAGAGTACACTCTTGGATTGCTGGGGTAACTATTTTGCGGTGATGTGTGGAAATCTTGGGAAAATCAAATCTGATTTTTACCCCCCTGGAAACTGGTTACTCAAGTAAAAAATTCACCCTCAAGTTACCTTTTACCTCACAAATAAAGCACTGTAAGAATATTATATTCTTATAAGAATTTTTATATTTTATAAGTCATATATATACATACACATATACATTCCTCAATGAGTAAACCCATACTTTTACTCACATAAATATACTTGTACAATGCTCTTATATGTTGAATTAAGATATTTATATATTAGTTGACAAGTGGACATTCTGTTTTTTTTCTGTTGATGTTGCTTGCAAGAAATAGTTGAATCTTAGAATTTACTCATTTTTATCTAATATCTGTGATTATTTTTGCTCAATTATTGGTAAAACAGAAGTGTTGAGTCAAAGATGACTTTCTATGAGTGGCTTTCTATGGGCAGCAGGTGCTTGGCTTCAAGCAGATACTCACCGTGTGATCAACTGTCAAGAAAAAGAATGATGGGACCAGCACTGTAGTACACTGGGTGAAGCACAGTCTGTGACATCAGCATCCCATATCACAGTACAAGTTCAAGTCCCAGCTGCTCCATTTCTGACCCTGCTCCCTGCTAACATGCATGAAAAAGCAGAAGATAGGCCAAGTGCCTGAGCCCCTGCCACCCACATAGGAGACCTGGATGGAGTCCTGGACCAGCCCCAGCCATTGCAGCCATTTGGGGAGTGAACCACTGAATGTAAGATCTCTTTCTCTGTCTCTCTCCACCCTTTGTCTTTCTGTCAAATAAAAATTTTTTTTTAAATCAGTGAGTAGGAAGTTTTGGAAATACACTGCTGAAGACTATCAAAAAGGCAAGAAACTATGTATTTTAGAAGGAGCTTTTCCCACATACCATTGAACACACTGCAGTCTACTGCTCAACTTGCAATGATCTGACTTCATTATACATTTTTGGAGACAGAAAAGGTACTAAAATAGGGGACTATACGCGGTCTAAAGATTAGACTCTGAATTAGTTACCAATAATGACTGACTTCCAACACAGATTCATAGAATATTAAGAAATGGAAAGGTCCTTACAGTTACCTACTTCAACATGGGAGACCTGCAGATGAAATAACCGCAGGCCACAAGGATTACTTCACGTGCCTAAGGCTCCACAGTTAAATTCATGGAGGTGCTGGGACAAGAACCTGGGGTTTCCTAGTTTGGGATATTTTTCTGTGACGGTTATTTTGGAAGCTATCACGTTAACAATACAATTCTGGTTCCTCAAAAATCACAAGAGACAGGATTCCTGATGATCTTGGAAACTGCAGTGTCTCCAGGTTCCAGGTCATGAACTCTCTAACAAAAAAACAGGATAGAGGAAGACTTGAATGCCAAATGGCTGATGTGGCAAATGTTTTAAAATAGATTCTGCATTTTATCTTCTAGTCTAAGGTTAAGTACTGTTTTTTGATCTATTCTTTGTATACCTTTACAGCACACATCGTATCTTGAAATAATACATTTACTTATTCTGTATCTTCTCCAGCAGACTGTAAATTCTGCGACGGTGAGTCATTTCTGTTTTGTTCACAACTGTTTATCCAGCACCAAGCAGAGTCTCAGCCTATTAAAGAAGCCCTGATAGTTTTTGAATAAACAAATGAATTACTCTAATCATGGCTGAGGCAAGCCTGTGGAAGCCCCAATTATCTTTTTTTATCCTTTCTTAAACTTGGTAGCTAAGCCTAAGGGATTAAAGTTCCAGGGAAGTAGATTTTAGCTTAGTAAAAGCTACCAATTAGAAAGATTCAGAAATGGAATGAGCAATTTTGTAGGCTACTGAGCTCTTTGCCAAGAAGAACACCAAGTACTCAGGTGTATGGAATCCCTGATTCAGGCAGACGGTCCACCTTGACAACCTCTCAGCTGTCTTCCAACTGTAAGGTTCTCAAGTTCATTTCTTCCCAGCTGTCTGATTTTTTAATTAGGTGAAAATAAAGTACATGAACAAATTCACTAGGAAAAAAGCCAAGAGAGCCATCTAATTAGATTTAGAAAATTGATTATTCAGACTTGCATGCCCTTTTACAATTCTGGATGCATATGAATTCTATTGAGTACGCATTTGCTGCAGCTCCATATACTCGAATATGTAACCTGCTCAAGACTTAAAAGAGTAAAATAAGCTTTTTTAAAAAAAAATGTTTGTATAGCATTTCAGTTTTCATACACATACTTTCATGTAATTTTTATATCAATTCTGCAAGGAAAATGATACTAAACTTCATACAGAGTACGTGGATTGTCCAAAGTAGTACAACTTTCAGGTCTCCAACTCCCAAATCCATGCTTTGCTTATCCTAACGACCATGTCACTTTTTGACTCCATTCTTAAGGAGTATCATTATTGCCATCCTCATTTGCATTGAAAATATCTTTCTTCCAAATCTGTCTGAGATAGGACCAAATGGGATTTTGAAGTAAAATCTTCTGTGTCAATTAAAAACATTTTTATTGGGGTAAGTATTTGGCACAGAAGTTCAAAGCACCCTTTTGATATATCCACATCCCATATCAGAGTGCCTGGGTTAGAGTCCTGGTTCCACCCCTGATAATAACACACCCGGGTGGCAGCAAGTGATGATGGCTCCATTAGTTGGGTCCCTAACACTCAAGAGATCCAAATTGGGTTCCCAGCTTTTGGTTTTGGCCTGGTCCAGACCCAACTGTTGTGGGTATTTGGGGAGTAAACCAGCTGATGCAAGGTCTGTTTATCTGTTTCTTTCAAATAAATGTTAAAAAATCTTTTACTGATTATTGGCTAAGTTATAAACACAATTATAACAAAATGGTGATTAAAGAGTTTAAATAATTAATTCAGTATCTCACTAGCTTTAATAATTAAAGGTTAATAATTATTAAATGTGATTTTTTTTCACCTAATCCAATTAAAGATTTCAATGCAAAGTAGTAAATTCCTTACATTAAGGCACTAAAAGAGAATATTTTCTTCTGTGATGTTTAGCAAAACACTGAGAATAATATGTGCATTTATCATAGATTAAACAGCAAGGGAGAAAAAAATACAACATTTAATTTTATTTACTAGTTGGTTCTCAAAAGTTACACAGGCAAGTGATCTAATGTAAAAGAAGTGGTCACAAGGTAAAACAGACTCCCATTCTGTCTTAGAATTTGAAAGAATATTTGAGATGATCTAGTTCGGCTTCTCAATTTCCTCTTAATGAAGGTAAAAGATTTGAGAGTTCACTTGCTATAAATATCTCTTTTTGAGGGAGTTTATCTTTCCATGAAATGTGCTTGACTTGCTAAAGAAAATCATGATTATATATATTTTTCATGTTATTTCTTACAGCGATATGTTGAAATCTACATCCCAAAAACCCCACAACACACATTCTCCTGTCTTCATGTGTGGTGAGCTGGCCGTGTGGTGCTTTTCTTTAACCTCCCAGCTACAAAAGGCATGAGTGAGTAAATCTTGGAAAGGGGATAACGTCTTTGATATTGTCAACTCCCAAGATGCACTGCAGGTAGCGTTCAAATCCCATCCCAAAACCTCCATGTGGCACAGATCCAAATCGACGAAGTTCCAGGTACCTGTGTTTTAAAACAGAAATCATCACCTGTAAACACTGTATGACATTATATCAGAATCTGATATTTCACAATCTGGCATTTTGCAATCACCCGTTATTGCCCACATCACTGTGGCACACCAGTATTTCCCCTCCACAGACAAATGAAACAAAGACGTTAAAGTGATTTAGCTACCTAAGTTTACTCAAACAGCAGATCTTGTCACCCAGCTGTGCGCTTTGGTCACTTATCCTTTTCCTTTTGAAGTTAATTTTCATACAGAAAACTTGCCTCATGAGGTTATAAGAAAATTTTCTAATAGCTTGACTGGTTTTCTTGAAAATACATTCTGAGATCTGCACTGTGGCCCAGCAGGTTAAGCAGCTGCCAGCCACACCTGCATCCTTTTTAAGCACTGGTTCAAGCCCCCGCCATTTGGGGAGTGAACTAGCAGATGGAAGATCTCTATATATAACCGTGCCTTTCAAATAAATAAAATAAATATGGAATACATTATTTTAAAAAAAATTTTTGGTATACTAATGATAACATTCCTCTCTTTTTCCTTATCAAAAGCATATTAGGTGGGGCCAGTGCTGCGGTGTAGTGGGTAAAGCCACCACCTGCTATGTTGGCATCCCATATGGGATCCGGTTCATGTCCCGGATGTTCCACTTCCAATACAGCTCTCTGCTGGGAAAGTAGTAGAGGATGGCCCAAGTCTTCAAGCCCCTGCACCCATGTAGGGACCTAGAGGAAGCTCCTGGCTCCTGGCTGTTGTGGCCATTTGGGGAGTGGACCAGCAAATGGAAAAACCTCCCTCTCTGCCTCTCTGTAACTCTTTCAAATAAATAAATAAATAATCTTAAAAAAATATTAGTCAATACACAGAGCACAGTGAAGAGTTTTACATGATACATTACAAAAAGAAATCCTTGGGGCCAGTGTTGCAGAGCAGGTGGTAAAGCTGCTGCTGCTTACGCCAGCATCCCATATGGGCACCGTGTGTGTCCTAGCTGCTCCACTTTGGATCCAGATCCCTGCTATGGTCTGGGGAATGCAGCCGAAAGTGGCTCTGGGCTCTTGCCACCCACAATGGGGAGACCCAGATAAAGCTCCCAGCTCTTGGCTTTGGCATGGCCCAGCCCTGGCAGAGGGGGCCATCTGGGAAGTGAACCAGCAGATGGAAACCTCTCGCTGTAACGCTGAACTCTGACTTTCAAATAAATAAATAAATCTTTCTTCTTCTTTTTAAATAAAAAAAAACAAAAAGATAGCCTCTTGATTGGACTGTAAGCTCTATCAGGGGCAGGAAGTTTGTCTGATTCAACCTTTCACCTTCAGGGAATGTTCTAGAGTAGGTGCTTACCACATAAAGGCTTGCTGTTTGAAGCCTCAACAATATATTCTTGAGCACTGCTATGAGGACAGATTTCCAGTACTCTACTGCCCTAGTGAATGTGCCCAGAGTCATTTTTCTGGCATGCTAGACAGTCTCTGAAGCACACATTCTATTCCCACCTAGGAGCACACATCTAGAAAAAGGAACAGGATGACTGAAACTCAGATGCCGCCACACTGGTATGGGGTAAAATTATTTTAGGTAGGGAAAAAAGACAGGAAGACCCCACAAATATTTTCATTATGTCACTTAGTGGGGAAATTCTTGACTTACATGAATATAGATCAGTTCCACAATAAAACTTAAAACACCATAACTGGTAGCCATCTGGATCCCCAAGCATAAAGACTCTCACCTAGTTCCCTACTATTAATAATGGCTAAATATATTACTGTTTTAGGGAATTGGAATTAAGTATCCATCTTTCTAAAATAAAAATGAACTGCAACTAGGTGAGTTGCCACTAGCTGAGAGATCAGTATGACAGGGTTATCTAGTATAAAACTTCACACTTGCAAGAACTGTTAAGAAATCATGCAAGGAACACACTTGAGTGACTGAGATGTTTGGTAGCTAGATTAACTGTAAGTTTACAAGGCATGAAAACAGGTACACTTGAATTTATTGACAAAATAAGATGAGAGTCATGCCAAACAGCCTCACCCAGAGCCTGCAGGATCTGAGCTGGCTGGCTACAGTCTAGCAGTAGGATTTAGTTGGTTCTAAATTTCTCACATGTTGGTGTCCAAACCCTGGCAAAAATGTCAGCAATTTGAATTTGGCTTTTTTTTTTTTTTTTTTAACATCCATCCCTAAAGCTTCTAATCTCAACTCTAGAGGCTGGGCCTAGCCAGGCCAGGGATCTGGGGCCCTGGGCTATTTTTCTCTTGGGGCCCATGCCCAGAGCCTAGCTTTGACTTCTCACTCCTGGAACTTCAGACCTTCGTCCTGGGGTCTACTTCCATCCTCTCCTCAGTCCTCAGTGATGACTCCGGCTTGGCCTCTTGCCCAGCCACTCTGAGGGAGGCCTCCTTCATAATCAATCCATCCTTGGGTCTCCTTCCAGGGGCCATCAACAGTCTGGGCTGGGACCTTTGCCCCCTTGTCGCTCCCCCTCTTCATGGAGGAACGACACTAAACCCTGCCGAGGCTTCACATCCGAGTCACGGCACCATTATGTCGCTCCCCCTCTTCATGGAGGAACGACACAGGACCCTGCGCTGTTCTTTCGTCTGCTTGGCCCTCCCCGGGTTTGCTGCTGGTTCTTCCCGGGTTGGCTACCGTCCCTTCCACCTCCGTGGAAGGGCAGTTCCCCCTGCCACATTCCCCACTTCCGCGGGGGAGCGGCACACCGCCGGCCGGCTCTCTCGGGGGCTGCACAGGTGTTCCTTCAGATGTTCCCTTTAGATGTTTCTGGTGCATGCCGTCTCTCTCCCCCTTTATAGTCCTCCTCCGCCAATCCCAACTCGGCTGCCCACACGCCGAGTACGCTGCTCTCCTCCAATCAGGAGTAGGTCCTACAGTTTATTGGTTGAACTGGAGGCAGCTGCGTAGAAGCTGTTTTCTCCTCTCCCAGCGCCATATTGTGGGAGAGCAGATGCATAGAATAAGTCTTAATTCCAGTAACTTAGTCTAGTCCGAGTTGCTCCCCACACCCCCTGACTCAATCCCCATCACTATAGCCAGTAACAACTCAGTCAGAGTCACTGCTTCCTCACCCACTGCCTCTACAAGCCCCACAATCAGCAGGGCCTGCTTCCGTGGGCACTGACCTGGCCCCGGCGGAACACCTCATCCACTGACTCTAGCACACCCTGGGGCCCCAGGTGGATGCAGCCTACAGAATCTTTGAGTTCCTCCTCCAGGCTAGGCAGCAGGAAACAGCCAGTACCTACAGTACCTCCTCAGCCTCTGAATGTCAACCTCTGAGGTCCAGCAATTTGAATTTTGCAGAGGCATCCAGTTTGTAGCATTCTTCCTGCCTTTGCTTGACAGATGGAAAAACCTTGTCTATGTATTTGACCATTGTTTAACTGATTGTAGGGTACCCGGACTATAGAGGAGATGTTACAAAATTCATGGAATAAGTTACCGATGAAATTTGCATATGGCATTTTGAAAAAGGAAGTGAGTAACTTTTGATGGACACCTGGGCAGCAACTCACAGTTGGGTAGAATATTAGCAGAGACTAAACCTGTAAATATTTCTAAAGTTCTTAATATATCTGGGGTCTTCAAAAAGTTCATGGAAAATGTATATTATGAATAAACTGTGCATGGTTGAAAAAAACTTTTAACTGTTTGTCACAACTTTTAAAGACATATACTATGATAACCAGAAAAAAGGAAGTAAATTCAAATAGTAAGTATTTTATATGTGAAGATCTCAAAGTGTACCAAAAACTTTAGTTGGGAAAAGTATAGCATTGAAATGATTAATAAAGAACAGAAAAGTCCAACATTTACTTAACCAACAACTAAAATTTGTATTCAGCCCTTCGTTAAGGCTGGCTTTTATATACTACAAATGCTATACACAGAAATATTCTGGGGTGAAAAAGCATAAGCTTGGGCTGGCATTGTGGAGCAATGGAATAAGCTGCTACTTGCGATGACCACATCCTATGCTGGAGCACCAGTTCGAGTCCCGGCTGTTGTGCTTCCCATCCAGCTTTGTGCTGTGTGCCTGGGAAGGCAGCAGAAGATGGTCCAAGGGCTTGGACCACTGCCACCATGTGGGAGATCCAGATGGAGCTCCAGGCTCCTACTTTTGGCCTGGCCCAGTCCTGGCCGTTGTGGCCAAATGAGGAATGAACCAGAGGATGGAAGATCTCTCTCTCTTTCAAATACATATTGAAGAAGAAAAAACAAAGCATAAGCTCTGTCAGGCAGGGCTCATGGCAGAGGAAGAAATGGGGGTAGAAAACTGGCATTTACTGAGCCTCTTCTCTTGGAGATACCTAACCTATATTGTTACATTTCATTCTCACAATAACCCTGTGAAGTATTGTTATTTCTTCAAACAAGATTTTATTTATTTTGAGAGGTAGAGTTACAGAGAGAGGGAGAGACAGAGACAAAGATCTTCCATACATTGGTTCACTCCCCAAATAGCTACAACCACTGGAACTGGGCAGATCTGAAGCCAGGAGCCAGGAGCTTACGCTGGGTCTTCCCCACAGGTGCAGGGGCCTAAGCACTTTGGCCATCTTCTGCTGCTTTCCGAGGCCATAGCAGAGAGCTGGATCAGAAGAGAAGCAGCAGGGACATGAACTAGCGCCCAGGTGGGATGCAGGTGTCGCAGGTGGAGGCTTAGCCTTTATGCCACAGCGCCAGCCCCTACTATTGTGGTTATTATTATTATAGTCAAAGAAACCAAGACACAAGAGTGATTAGGCAAATATGAGGCATTCAAAGGCTATTACTGAAACCAATGTTAGCTTTAGCATCTCTGAAACCTCTCTCCTATGCTACCCAAAGCTAAGGGTATAACCTGCTCTGTTCTCCTCCTGAGAATGGCAAAAGGATTAATAATCTTGTTGAAATTATTACTGCACAATTGTGAAGGGATGCTACCATAGAAATACAAATAAATCACTTGTATATATTGGAAAGCGCTTCAAGAAATGTCTGTACAAAGAAAACCAGAACAACTTTGGGGAAGTGAAAGCATGAGCACAGACAGGTGGTCTTCCCTAAGCACCTAGATTTGTAAGTTCCTGGAAATTTTCATTCAAGTCCCTGATTTCACATGAAAGAAAAGTGAAGCACAATGGTTAACAGCAAAGGTTTGTGATTCAGCCCACAACCATACTTTTCACTGTGTGACCCTGCTTAGGTTAACATCTTTGGGCCTCAGGCTAGGAGGGGAAATGAAAAGGAGATAATAACAGCACCTAGCTGACAGGCTGTTGTGATGATTACAGGACCTCACATACATAAACATTCTGACAATTATCTGAGCCACAGTATGTATGCAAATGGTAATCATTATTATGACTGTTTTTCCAGGTCCCACAGAGAGAAAGCAAGCTCCTGGGTCCCTTAACACTCTTAACACAGGGGCTTAAGAATACAAGTTAAAACTTTTCCACAAACACTGAGACCAACAGCTAGAATAAGAATCATTAAGGGCCACATTCTTACCACTGGTAGGCTTCTGTAAGTCCTGATCTGTAAAAGAAAAACAATTTTTTTTCAGGGTATGGTAATAAGGTAAATATATGTTAAGTACCAAACACTGACTCTGGGTTGTGTGTCAAAAGCTCTTAATAAAAAAGTGTACAATACAGTTTATGTTCTCAAATCACACGCAATATGGTTGAGGTGCTGAAACTTCAGTTAACCAACAACCCAAGGAGTTGTCAAATGAATGGGATGGACAGTAAATGGTATAGAAGCAAAATACGATCTCGAACCCCAAAAAAGGAATTCACCTGAGCTGAGCTTCAGTTCCGAGACGTAAGAACTAGTATTACTAGAAGTGAGGAGGCACACACAGACAAGGGACACACAGACGCAAGTTTCATTTTACAACACTGAAACAAGAATGCAGTTTCTGAGGCTGCCCTCATAACGTTGTTGCAAACTGGTTCTTGTCTAACTTGAGAAATATTAATAAAATGTTATAGCTCTAATTAAAATTAACCTTAGCTCTTTAAGAATGTGGTTGGGACCACAGTGTATGTGAAGAGATGAGGACTATGAAAGTCAAAACACAGATAACAAGAACAGCAGCCACAGACAGACCCCTGAGACAAGAAAACACATATGTGTATGCCCACTTCACTAGGAGAGAGAAATTTGGACATTGTCAGATACTAGGTAAACATTTAATGTTAGAAGAGAGGTTTCCTGAAGGAAGGAAGCAAGCAAAGAAAACAGACCAATTAATCTTTCAACAGATGAGGTTCTTTGCCATGTGTGATTTTTATTGTGCCTTTGAAAAAACTCAGAGACTCCTGATTCTTTCCGTGCAGAGTCTGATCTTTAATTCCACAGCTTTCCCACGTCTTTCCACCACTGTAGTAGCTGTGTGCAGACTGTCGTCCAGAACCGATTTATGCTCTTTCTTGCTGGCCTTACAGAGCCCTTCACATGACTGGGATTACAAAACCAAGTTACACAGGAGATTTACAGGTTGGGATCTTGGAAAAGCATCAACTTGTTTTGCATTTCTCAACTAGGAAAAGAAGGCCTCAAATGCCTAACTTAACAGGATATGTTCAAACAGTTATGGGTTTTCCAGGATACAATGAAACCCAGTAGTATCTGGAGAGAAGGATTATACATACAGATATAGGATTTTTTTTTTAAGTCTGGCAAAGTAAAAGTGGAAATCACAGAAAACACAAATTTAATAACTTTGGTTAGTTGAGGAAGTCGTGGTCAGTTGGCAGATCATGCATGTACTGGAATGGAAGTTCAATTAGAAACTCGATTCCCTACTTCTCATCTCCAGTATTTTATGGATTCACTTCCCAGGTCCCAAATAGCAAGTTAAAGTTATGCAAATAACTAAACCAAGACCTTTCCATAGTAGAGAACCTGAGGAAGGGAAATCTCTTTTTCCGCTTTTATTCCTTCCCTGGTTTGGTCTGTCTTTACGTCCCCATAGCCGTCTGCCAATCAAAATTAACAGCAAATAAAAAATAAAAAAGAACACAGGTAAGAGAAAAATGTAGACAAGCTTTGAGGGGAAAATCTTTTTTTTTTTTTTTATCATTAACCTTTTATTAAGCTACTTTCCATAGGGAAACGTATGTATAAGCAGTGGGCAACTATAGTTGAGGGCTTGTTTCTTCTAATAGTCCCAGGCTCCAGAAAGGAAGCTCAGAGATTAGTAACAACTTGCTCAGGGTCACATGGAATCTGAGATCCAGGTCTGTAAGATAGAAGGCGCACGTGCTCCCCTGTTACTTCGGCAGGACTTCCTCCCTCCCTCCCTCCCTTCCTTATACAGAGATAACAGAGAGAAGCCCCTCCCTCTCTTCCTCCCTCCCTTCCTTTTTTAGATTTATTTATTTTAAAGGCAGAGATACAGAGATAACAGAGAGAAGGCAAGAGACAGACAGAGAGCTTCCATCCTCTGGTTCACTCCCCAAACGGCCAGGGCTGGGCCAGGCCAAAGCCAGCAGCCAGGAGCCTTCTTTGGGTCTCTTATGTGGGTGTAGGGGCCCAAGTACTTGAGTCACCTCCACTGCTTTCCCAGACGCATTAATAAGGAGCTAGATCAGAGGTGGAGCAGCCACGACTTGAACCAGCGCCCACATGGGATGCCGACACTGCAAGCAAAGGCTTAACCTTCTATGCCACAGTGCCGGCTCCATCAGGACTACCTTTCAGTGCTTCACCCCCAATTTCTGAAGTGTGTTTCTTTTACATTTCACGCATACCTGGCCAATTGCTGCTCTAAGAAATGGTACCGTTCCTCTCTGAGGCTTCCTCCAAAGAGTTCCCCAACTCCAGGAACCAGAAGATCAACAGCAGCAACCTAAAAAAGAAAAAAAAAATCATAAATAGCATTACATTTTCAGTTGGCTCCAACAGTCAGCTTCTGAGCAAGTGGGATTTTTTTTTTTTTAAAAAGGATTTTATTTATTTATTTGAGAGACAGAGGTACAGACAGTGAGAGGGAGAGACAGAAAGGTCTTCCATCCACTGGTTCACTCCCCAACTGGTCGCAATGGCTGGAGCTGCACCAGTCTGAGGCCAGGAGCCGGGAGTCTCCTCTGGGTCTCCCATGCAAGCGCAGGGGCCCAAACGTCTGGGCCATCTTCCACTGCTTTCCCAGGCCACAGCAGAGAGCTGGATCGGAAAGGAGCAGCCAGGACTAGAACTGGTGCTCATATGGGAAGCTGGCGCCGCAGGTTGGAGGATTAACCTCCTGAGACACAGTGCCAGCCTCATGGAATATTTTTTTACATTGTTTGAATGACTGTTTAACCAAGACTTTACATCTCTCATTTACTTTATCTGTCTATATTCCCTGTTTCAATGTCCAACATTTCATATAATCTTTACAATTAGACTACCTGAATTGCAGGTGGAAAGCTTCATCTCCACTCTCAAATCCTTTCTGTACCTAACAAAAATGGGTTTACTTATCAAATATTAAATGTTAATTATTAAAATTATAAAAATAGGGGTCAGCACTGTGGCTTGCAGAGCTAAGGTAAATCTATGACACCAGCATCTCGTGAGTGCCAGGTTTATGTCCTGGCTGCTCTAATTCTGATTCAGCTCCCTGCCAATGGCCTGGGAAAGCAGTGGAAGATGGTCTAAGTGCTTGGGCCCCTGCACCCAGGTTGCAGATCCAGATGAAGCTCCTGGCTTCTGGCTTCAGCCTGGCTCAGACCTGGCCATTGTGGCCACTTGGATTGAACCAGTAGATGGAAGATCACTCTCTGTCTCCACCTCCGTCCCTCTGACTTTCAAATAAATAAATATTTTTTAAAATTATTAAAAATTAAAAATCACGTCACTGTGCAGAAACAATTAAACTTTGGCCATTCCCTTTCAGTTTTTGTTCTCATATACTGAAAAAAGAATTTACTAGAGATAAAATCACATAAAAAAACCTAACATTCGGGGTCAGCACTGTGGTGAAGCAAGTGAAGCCGCCGCTTGCAGTGTCAGCATCCTGTATGGGTACCTGTTCAAGTCCCAGCTGTTCCATTTCTGATCCAGCTCCTTGCTAATGTGCCTGGGAAAACAGTAGAATATGGTCCAAGTTCTTCAGGCCCTGCACCCACAGGGGAGACCCAGAAGAAGCTCCAGGCTCCTGGCTTCAGTTAGGCCCAGCTCCAACCGTTGTGGCCATTTGGAGAGTGAACCAGTGAATGGAAAACCTTTCTCTCTGTCTCTCCCTCTAACTCTGCCTTTCAAAAACATAAATAAATCTTTTATTTAAAGAGGATGGTCCAAGTCCTTGGGTCCCTGCACCCAAGTAGCTCCTGGCTCCTGGCTTCGGATCAGCGCAGGTCCGGCCATTGTGGCCATCTGAAGAGTGAACCATCAGATGGAGGACCTCTCTCTCTCTCTGCCTCTCCTCTCTCTGTGTAACTCTGACTTGCAAATAAATAAATAAATCTCTTAAAAAATTAATTGGCCATGAGCTTAATTTGTAGTATTTTCTTAGGACATATGAAATAAATATTAATGATTAATCAAAGAAGTACAAATTAAAACAACAAGATACCATTTTGGATTCATCACAATGCTAAGACACAAAAACATAAACCATGTAGATAAGAGAACAGATAAGCCAAGATTCTCAAACACTAAAAAAGTGTAATATTCTCTGAGTCAGCAACAGCAGTCCTAAGAACTAATGCTAAAAAAATAATAAGTGATGCAAACAAAGATTAACCCACAGGATGTTTATTATAGCACTATTTCTAATAACAAAAAATTCAATTTGTCAAAAACAGAGTACTAGATGTATTTTAGGCATGGATATAAAAAAGATTGATGTATAAAATGTGATACTGCGTTGCTACTGTGATGGGATTACAAATTTTCAAAAATTCTGTTTTTTATTAATATTTGTTTTCTTTTTTCCAGATTTATCTATTTTTATTTCAAAGTCAGAGTTACAGAGAGGATGAGGCAGAGAAAGAGAGAGGTCTTCCACCCTCTGGTTCACTCCCCAAATGGCTGCAACAACTGGAGTTGTGCTGATCTGAAGCCAGGGGCCAGGAGCTTCTTCTGGGTCTCCTATGTGGGTGCAGGGGCCCAAGGACTTGGACCATCTTCTACTGCTTTCTCAGGCCATAGCAGAGAGCTAGATCAGAAGTGGAGCAGCTGGGACTTGAACCAGCACCCATATGGCATGCCGGCACTGCAGGGCTTTACCCACTACTCCACAGTGCCGGTCCCCTCTATTTTCTTATTTTCTACAAATATTTAGTGCAGTAAATGAAAGGAATCCATAAAACACATTTCAATTATTGAATATGTCACATTATATTGTAAATTCCTTACTTAAACTTTGCTCTGCTTTGCCAGGGCCAAAGAACTCCATCTGAGTTTCCTAAATGGGTGGCAGGGACCCAGGTGCTTGAGTTATCGCCACAGCCTCCCAAGGGTATACACTGGTGGGAAGCTGGATCAGAAGCAGAGGCATGTCGCAAACTCAGGCACTCTGAAATAGGATGTGGGCATGGTAAGCAGCAACTTAATTGGCTAAGCCACAACGCCTGCCTGATTTCAGAATTGTTGATTAAGATAGACTTAACAGAAAATAAGATTAACAATACCTCATTCTCATTACTTTTGTTTAAAGATTTATTTGGGCCGGCGCCACGGCTCACTAGGCTAATCCTCCGCCTAGCGGCGCCGGCACACTGGGTTCTAGTCCCGGTCGGGGCGCCGGATTCTGTCCCGGTTGCCCCTCTTCCAGGCCAGCTCTCTGCTGTGGCCAGGGAGTGCAGTGGAGGATGGCCCAGGTGCTTGGGCCCTGCACCCCATGGGAGACCAGGAAAAGCACCTGGCTCCTGGCTCCTGCCATTGGATCAGCGCGGTGCGCCGGCCGCAGCGTGCCGGCCGCGGCGGCCATTGGAGGGTGAACCAACAGCAAAGGAAGACCTTTCTCTCTGTCTCTCTCTTTCACTGTCCACTCTTCCTGTCAAAAATAAAATAAAATAAAATAAAAATAAAAAAATAAAAATAAAGATTTATTTGAAAGAGTTACAGAGAAAGAGGAGGAAGGGGAAGGGGGGGGGAGGAGGAGAAGGAGGAGAGAACATCTTCCATCCACTGCTTCACTCCTTAAGTGGTTGCAACAGTCTGGTCTGGGCCAGGGGCCAGGAGCCAGGAGCTTCTTCCAGGTCTCCCATGTGGGTATAGGGGCCCAAGCGTTTGTCATCTGCTACTGCTTTCTCAGGCCATAAGCAGAGAGCTGGATCAGAAGAGGAGCAGCTGGGACATGAACCACAGGCAAAGGTTTGGCCTACTACACCACAGCACTGGCCTCTGTGGTAACTGTTTTTGATAATGTAAGGATATACAGAGCTTAGGAGCCAGGGCTAGAAAAGTCTACTGCCTCAAAAGCATGCTGGAGGATCAGCTATCAAGGAAGAACACGAAGCCTATAATTCAGATGAGGCTACTTAGCCAGTGATGAGATGATACAATCCTTGTTCAGTTGTTCTGCTTTCTCTATGTAATCCACAAACAACAAATAAAACAGAGCCATTTATTGGTTGGTCTTGCTGCAACTACGAGCACACCTCAAAAAGCTGGTGGGATAACGTAATCAAAATTAATGATCGGTGGGCATTTGGCCTAGTAGTTAAAATACCAAGTCCCACGTCAGAGTGTATTAGTTTGATCTCAGTTCTGCTCCTGACTCCAGCCTCCTGCTAAGACAGACACTGAGTGGTGACTGGGTCCTTGCCACATGCAAAGGAGACCTGGACTGAATTCCCAGCGCTTGGCTTTGGCCTGATCTGTCCCTGACTATTGTGGGCATCATGGTCGTGAACCAGTTGATGGGAGATCTATTTCTCTCTCTGCTCTTCAAAGTAAAAAAAAAATTCTTTCTTCCAAATCTGATTTCTAGATATCTAACTGGTTATGCCAAATAATTTCTGCATTGGCTACTATAAAATTAAGGTGACAGTTACTATATAATTTACAATCAGCTAGCTTATGTTCTGAGTGCAACCAATCTGGAAATCTTGTAACAGTATTACCAATTTCAGCATTAAGAACATTTTTTTGCAAATGCTTCTTTGTTGTGAAGCCTGTACTGTGCATTGTGGGATATTTAGCAGTGGAACTGGACTCTACTCACTAGATGCCAGTTGCATTCCCTTAGCTACGACAATCAAGAATGTCTTAGGCATTGCCAAATATCCCCTTGGGGAATGGAGTGGGACATAATCATCCCTGAGAACTACTAGTTTGCAACAATGAATTGGCTTTTTTTTTTTTTCCTTAAACTTACACTATGTATCCAACCTGGTCTGAAATTGACAGTACAGCCTTTTCCTGAGCTATTTATTGCTGTTCTCTGTCAAAAGGAAAAAAGACCAAGGGAGAGTACTAAAAACATCTGTCCAGAAACAATGCCTGCATGTCCCACAATTCTGTGGCCAAGGCAAGTCACATGATCAAGCTCATGCCAATAGGGCAAAGAAGGATACTTTCCAGGGAGAGGCAGAACTTTCTGTACAACAAAACAGATTTCCACACTGCTTTTCTTTCGTCTACTTGGATTCTTTACTCCTACTCTCTCAATCAGTTCCTCATGATTAATTAGAATTAAGGCCAGACTAGTACTTCTCCTATATTCTTCATCATACTCTGGGAGATTCTTATCCGTATGAAAGAATTTATCAAAATATGCTATTTTCAGCTCAATAAATTTTTAGAAGACATCTGAATAAAGTCCCACATCACTACTGCATCTTTACTTGGTACTAATTTTGTGCTATGTCAGAGGAATACATACATCATCTATGTTCTTTTATAAGATTTATTTGAAAG